TCACACAAATCAATTGCGATTCGTGTGGCGCATATGTATTTGGTGCCTTCTTGTACCAATACCTATGTGTTAAAATAAAATAAATAAAAATACTAATAATATTCAAGAACACGTGCATTCTATTTTTTAATTAATATGTCCCCGGCTATTAATTTGAATGATAACAGACATAAAAATTACTTACAGAGATATTATTATTTTGATTAGCTCCTTAACACTCAGAACATAAATTCCATTTATCATTCATTATTGAGTAAACTGAACCAAATTTTAATTCATTCATATTGCTTGATTGGCTCTTCCAGCTGATGTTTTAGTACTGTAATCGACCACTCGCTTAGTATATGTCCATTCTGTGCGGATCGTGCTGAATTCCATTGCTAGTCACTATGTATTTCTACTTAATGAATTAACATTCTTTATGGTATGTCCCTATGGCTTGTTAATATATCACGTGACTAAATCGCCAATTAGAACATGAACTTATTGATCAAGTCAATGACGTGTAAAGCACTACGAGCAGCCCAGAATCAACTCTGAGTTCTTATTGGTCCTCTGAGATAGTAGCTTCTCTCCTGACCCAGCCGGTTCAATCCAGAACTCCAATATCAGCCTCCGTTATATGGATCACGTATTTCAGACATACTTATTTTCTATACAAGCAAATCAGACCGCATCACACCATAACATAGAAAATAGCAATTATGAAAGATCAGGTCATTATTATTCTTCCGGATATAACATTTTACTTTACTATACCGATAATATTACGAAAAAATCTTTCACGGTACAAAAATATTCAAAATAAATAAAATTATGTCAGTCATCGACATTGATGCTGACCTCAGTGGTTTTACTGGACAAACTGCAGCTGAAGTGGCTTTGTCAAGTATCCTCACCAGTTCAAGCTTGGGCACATTTTGCTGTGTACCTCTTACAACAACTGGTCACATATTTCTCAACGCATCAACAATTTTTTAAACACATATTTTAACCCCTTCGTTCCTTACTTCTGGTATGACTGGCTTTGGGAATAAAAAGGTAAAATGGAAAACAACGTTATGAAGCACTGAATATCCGTGACATCTTAAAATCCAATTATTCAAGTAAACGACATGACATTATGTTGTTATGATTATTTAGTTATCGATGAACCTGAAGAATACTTTATTAGGATAGCAACTCTAGTTCGTTAACCAATGTACATATATTGATGGAATAAACCAGACCAGATTAACACGTCTAAGCGATATCAGTAACCAAGCATGTTTGAAAAAAGTTGATTTAATAATTGTTAATTAAATAACCAAGATAGTCTAGGTGAAAAGAATCTGAAATTACTCAGGCGAATGATAAGGGTAGTAATAATGACCGTTCAGGTTGATGGGAGACCAGAATGTTATGAAGGACTTTTTTGCAAAAACTATATCATCAGCCAATGATTTATCAATTTAGTTTAATTGGTCAAATCATAATATCAGAATATTAATCAGAAATAAATATTGTAAAAACAGTTGGTAATAAGATCCTCACGTGAAGCGAATTGTTCATCTATTCCAGACAAGCGTATGATTGATTGACTTCCTATATCATCTGACGTGATGGAACGATAAACTCATGATACATAAGAAAATACAATTCGGAAAACTATTTTCAAATCAATAACTAAATTTACTTCGCTTTTTTACAACATAACATCACTTACTGATTCTTATATTAGCTCAAAGTTATTAAACTACTTTACTCTCAAGCTTTTTTCATTCACCTAATCCCTTAGTTATTACATTCTAAAAGTTAAAAATAAAGAGCGAAATCGTTCGTAATGCGCTCAGATATTCTCAGAGCATAAGTTGCCTGAAATTTCACCTTATGAGACTGGTGGATATAATTGATTACGCTCACACCAACACCACCTATTTTGAGATGAATTGCAATTGAATTCTGAACATCCCTTTTATTACAGTCTTTCCCATAAAAAGCATATAGTATAATAATTCGTTGAAACTCTAACTGCTCATTTGACAATGAAATCTATTATTCTCTAATCTATACTATTGACTGACATCTTTATATTAAGATATTTTTAGGTGACCTGTGAATTAATATAGCATTGTGTATTGTCATACTATTTTTCAAAAACTTGAAGCAACCTGAATGTTCCTATTACTAGTTATTCACCGTTAGTACGATAATAAGTTTAAGTCACGTATATGAATAATCATACTTTTTCGTACTTAGAGAATAATTCATATAGGGAGAAAGTTATCCGACGTTTTGTAGTTGAAAATCTTAATTAGATGTTTGTAAATTTCTAGGATTCACTATTACCACTTGTAGCATCATTTTTATTTCGTTTTATTTAGAAAAGCACAAGTGATACTCATTAATACCAAACCTACGGACAAATATTTGCTTCTTCTAAGTCGATGCAAACACTTGAGGAAAATTTCGAATGAAAAAACATATAACTCGGTATATACAGGTTCGAAAATAAAAAAGTTACATGTTTAAATGTTATATGGATGAGACTGATCAATCTAGACTGATGAAGAAGACAACATATACATGTATATCATTTGCTTGTTGATCTATTTTTCTCTTTTTTGAATCCCCTATTACTTCATAAATGCACATACTGTTGGTCACTTATATCATTCTATACCTTAAATCAAGTTAGATAACACAACTCTACAAACAACTGCAAATCAACTTAGTATTCTGTTTTGTATTAATGCCCCTGATTTTACGCAGTAAGAGAATATAGATTGTGAAACAAGACCGACTGGATGTTTCTTGACATAAGACTTATAGCATTCAACTTAGATTTTAGGTAACTTAAATGTTTAATATTTTCCTTTGGGAATTTCAAAATAGAATATTTTAGTAAAAATTCAAAGTTATTCTTAATTGAATCAAATAAGTGGACACAACCTACCACAAGTTACGGACATGAATTTGAATGCTAACACTGAAATCGCTTCACATAACTGCACTGATGCTGAAAGTAAGAGAACTGTATAAACACTGACACTTATGTGACTGGCACAGAAAAAAACTGTAGGTGGAAGATGAATAGAAGTCAAGAAAATATTTATTAATGTTTTCGGTTCGAAGTTTAATCAGCTGAGACACGTATTACACAGGCACAACTAATCCCTACCCCTAAGAACGCAAAAATGTGACAGTATAAATCCATGGAACCACTAAATGTTGGATTGAGCTGTGTCATATGATGCACATTATCTAGTTGAGGTTTACGTGGTAATCGAAATCTATGGTTGTATACTTTAAGTGAGGTGCATGGAGTTTCCAATGAATAATATATACTCGGTCTTTATACCCCACTAAATACTGAGTTTCTGTATTTCTCACACTACTATCTCCGTGATTACATTAGCCGTATCTTTGACATACAATTATTTATTTTGGATCCTGTGTTGTTAATGTTTGATTCATATAGCGAATTGTCAATCGAACTATAGAAGCAACGGTTCATTTAACAAATAATAATACACTTAAACTTTCATATACATATATCCTCTGGAATAAATCGATTCAGATAATTACGTCTACGCAGAAACTCAATATCAAAGAAATAACACCGTTAATTGATCTTGATAAATTCCCAAGTGATGAATTTCCATGTGAATGGGTGGCCTAAGGACTAAGACATTGAGGTTCCAACCAATGTCTCGGAACTGGATTGTGGAGATGGTTGAATTTCATTGGAATCATGAACCTATTCCAGGTCTAAACCTCCAAAACCAAATATTTAACTCGATAATTTAGTTACATTTATTGGTTAAAGCAGTTAAACCATTGATTTTTCAAATTATATGCATACAAAGAACGATTGATTAGCTAGTGTCGGTTCAATACATTCACCTTAAAATTTCGACCGAACGTTTGAAATGACATAAGTAACACTGTGAATTTTGTTGTAATCTTGATCATTTGTGAATCATAGGTTAGTGTATGAATAACTCTTCATCTACAGTCTTGTATTTTTCTTTGCATCGAGCTGTCATTTATGTCCCGTTCAAAAAGTAGTAAATGTAAGCTTATTGCGCAGTCATAACAAACATAAATACGATTACCAGTGTCACAATTTATTCAAATTATTACCATATCGCTTTACCTGCCTTGATTAAGAGGGCTGGGTGGTATCACCAGCTGTCACACAAACAATATGTTTGAAAACCAAGTACACAATCATCTACTTGTGAATGAATTCTGATATTGTCAGATCTATAATATTTAAGAAGTTAGTGTATATGTGTTGTGTTCCCAATGAACGGACGTTCAATATGACTAGTTACTTAACACTTGTTTACCATTTTTTCCATCGACAACGGTGACGAATTTCTTTTAGAGTTTAGCGCAAACACAGAAAATGATTGACGTCATGTATGGCTTTTCAATTTAACAACAGTCGGAACTTATTGTATATCATAGATGCTTTATTTCATGTTGCGCACAACTCAAAATCTATTTCACTAAATTGTTACTAACATCATTCATCAATAAATATTAAAGGACATGGTGCTTAGTAGTGTGAATGAGTACTTACTGAATTTTTGAAGAACCAAGCTTTTATGTAGTGGAATTAAAATGTAGATAAATAAAGAATTCTTAACATTGGTCTGATAATTAATATTACACCACAGAGAGGGATTTTTCTTTTTTGTGATCAGATACAATGGTCCAAATGTTCGACTTCTTACAATCATTATCTTCTATTTAATCCGACAAGCACTCTGGATGTGATAATTATCATAGAACGGTTTCGTCTTTTAAACAGAACACTATAACACACAATTGAATTACGTATGTCAGTAAGTTATGTACAGTATTCACTTTTGGAACAAATAGACTTGATGAAAATGTAAACTCTAACGGATAAAAATGGCAGGATATTGAATTTAACAGTGAACTAATTCATGTATAGTACATACTCAAAGTTGTCAAAACACTAAACTATAACTGTAAAGTTTATACAACACGATTTTATTTTACCAAAAAAAAAAAAAACAAGGAAAATATTGAAGGAGTGATTATTGACTTGTTTATTTAGTTAGTGTTGTATGAAATTCTGTTTCTTTATTCCTCAAGATTATTAATTTTACACTTCTATTTATTTATTTGTGCTGTAATAAATTTCCTAGAGAACCATCCAACTATTCACAGTTTGAGATAAATACTGTAAAATGAGCATTTGGAAAGAATTAAATCAAAAGAACCTAATAACTTACCCATAGACTTTATTTGTTGCTTATTTTTATTAGATGAACATAAATTTGATCAGTTTAAAAACCTTTAGAAATATACACAATTAGAAATTTCCTGGGTTCGAATCTCACGAGGCGAGGTCGTGGATATGCACTGCTGAGGAGTCCCACAACAAGACGAAACAGCCGTCCAGCGCTCCCAGGTTTTTCATGGTGGGCTAGCTTCAACTAACTCAAGATCTCAACCATTGAAATTATATTTTAGTCAGAAGAGTTAAGAGAGATAAAACAATTATAAGACGTAAATTAATTTCAACAAAATGAAATAAAATATATTTTGATAAATGACATTCATACATATGAAAGAGGAATTATTAAAGGAAACATTTAAATATGTATTATATGTATATAATTGCATCATAGAAAACTAGCTAAAACTGTAAAAGAAAAGAAGAAAGAAAGAAGGAAACAGAAACATGAATTCTTACTCATGCTGAAACAGTGAACACATTCATATATACCTGTTTAATGCTATTTATTACACAGATGGAAATAGATTTGAAGAAAGTAAAATAAGGTGTACATATGTATGTGTGTGTGCAAAACAAGTAATAAAACAAAATAAAAGCTATAATAGAAATATTGACATTGTTTATTTTGCTAGGAAGAGAGAGAGAGAAAGAAGATAAAAGAATCATGTATATTTGAAGAATAAAGAACAATGAGATTCTGTGCTGAAACAATACAAGTTCCACAGAGTAAATATGAATACTTCATCATACACATAAAGAAATAAGATAATTGATCTTATAATGTACATAGAAATAATAATAAGGATCAAGAGGTAAGTTTGATTCAAACTATGTTGTTGTTAATGAGTAATACTGAACACTTTTATATAAAGACATGATGAAATCTCATTTACCTGGAATATAAAGATCAAAAAAATCAATTGGAAAAGACAAATATTACATTGTGTTTTGATGCGTTATGGTAATTAACTCTCATAGTGGCAGTCGGTGATGTGAGTTTGAATCCCATGAGAAATTAGTTTCTTCAATACTAAAAATTAGCACCCACCTACTACTAGGAAACCCCGGTTTAAGTCTATTTGCTAATATACTGTTATTTTATGTAATAACTACTGACGTTAAGACCTAAACACAGGAACTCTAAAAATATCAAGATAAAGTGACTTTATTGAATATTATATTTATCCCTCAAAAAGTTAATTTGAGGAGTTTCTATCAAATTTCCATAAATACAAACTATGGGAAATGAAAGACTGAGACAGTGTGATTACAATTACGAAGACACAAGGCTTTTCATATTAACTACAAACAAGTATAGTATAGTTATTTAACAGGTATATAACCAAGACTATATACAAAAGCAATAATAAGGTGAATAAATAATGCAAATAACTGTCTAATTTGATCGGCAGTTTTATTCTTTAAAACATTGCTAAGAAGGTGCAACTATTGTCTATGAAAATTAGTTAAGAACATGAATAAATAAACTGATAGAGTGATAAATTAGATAGACTATATTTAAGTGAAATGGAATAAGAACTCGTTTATCGACCATTATTGTGATTGTCGAATAATTATGGAATCATTTTCCAAAGGTGAATGGTGATAGCGAAAATCTGAACAACTTAGAAATATTATTAGCTTTTATTTAAGTGACGGTGTTGGTTCAGATCTAAACTACCTACCTACCTACCTAACTATATATATATATATATATATATATATATATATATATATATATATATATATATATATATATATATATATATATATATATATATATATATATATATATATATATATATATATATATATATATATATATATATATATATATATAACAGTAAGTCTTAACATGAAAACATTGATTTCCGATATACAAAGTTTTTTTTAACAGATAAATTCTAGTCCTATTTACCCTTCAATGTTCCGTGGAATAAAAAAACTTAATCAGCGGACATTCTACATTTTGTTTTGTTAATAATATTTTAGAAAAGTCCTAACAGTCAAGTAAATAACACTACATTATAAATGACCTGATTGTGTTACGATAGTTCCAATTATCAATGCATTTTTTTCAATACTTAGACAATTTATTTTCCTCTCTCAAAAAGGATAATATACAGGTCTGATGTTTCTTAGTCACCTTGTTTATGTAATTAACACCACCTTAATGTAGACTTTGCTCACTTTGAATTTTTACTCAGCGAGGCTTACATTAAAGCAGTCCGAAACCTTAGTGTTATACAGTTGAATATGGTTTAGAAACGTATGCTAATGAAAGATGTAGTTTGTTTGATGCCTGTGTGGGCTATTCATAGTAAATTAACTAAAATTCTTAAGAACATTGATCATATTTAAATGTGAAAATAAAAAGTACTAACCACTTGATAACCATAATAAAGATGATCCAATGTAACGAAACTCGTTATTAAATGGAGGACGATACATTCAATAGAATCATCTTTATTTATTGGAAGAATGAAACATATAACAACAGTAACTATTGAATATAAATAAACTTCTTTATTGTGCAATGGCGCTGGGACATGACATAATTGCGCGACGATCAAACGACACTAAGAAAAAACGAAAAAGAAAGTATAAGACTTATGCGTTAAAATATATATGTATTTATTTATTTAAACACATAAAAATTGGTACAAGGGGGCACCAAATACGTATGAGCCACACAATAATAATGAGGTAAGTAGTAGTCATTATCGATTCATGTGAGTGCTGTGATATTGTCCGGGTGCGCAAACCAAAGCAGGGTTAAAATATGCGAATTAAGATGACAGTAAAACTATAATAGGATTAACAAAACTATTAAAACTAGGATTTAGATTTACCGAATCAATCACAAGGACGTTAATAAATAAAGACATACATCTACATATCGAAAGTTATTCAACGATATTTCTAAGACATTACTCATGATAGTGAGCATCATTTGTGAAAAATCATAGTTTCCTTAAGTTGTTAACTTCTGGGAAAACAGGCTTATCATGATACACTACATCGACTGATCACTGAGTAGCATCCCATGTTATGCATGTCTATTACGCAGTGATCAAATTCTACTGATGAAATTGAAATGCGGCCACTTGTTAGCGGGACATAGATTGGATTAAAGCATGTTCTGTGCAGGATTGTGTTAGGGCAGACTGAGTGGCTATTTCTTAACTAATCAGAGCTAGAGAGTACTTGGAGAAGAGTCTAGAGTCTTCTCATATAGAAATTATAAATACACTAATGTTTTTCTTGTTGCGATTTCTACCTCCAGTCAACCTTGTTATTTGGAGTATAATTACGTTGCTGTTCAACGGGGTTTCGATTTGGAGACTTGTCGAGTGAAATAAGAGTAGATGGGTCGTAATAAGAGAAACCATAACACTACTAGACCGTGTAATTCAAAATGCGGTTTATGTTGTTTTTTATTTTAAATCAGTAGGAAACTATGCATCTAGATTTCGTGTCATCTGAGACTCTTCAGTAAAATGTACCTACAATCTTGAGGATCTAACGTTACGAATAGCTCAATGGCGATGCTTCACACTGTAAAGCTATGAGATAACTGTTGGAGTTTTACAGTAAGTAGTAGTTCACCCGATAATGCAGGTGTACATTTTTGAAGAGGGCCGAGAAGAATGAAATATGGGTCGAGTATTCTTGCCAACTACTTTTAGCTACCTAACAGAATCTAGTTATTCTGTTTGAGGTCTGAAACTAGGACTATTCCTTCATTTTATCCGGGAGTTATGTTTAGTATTCAATAAGTAATGACCTGAAAATTTGAGAAATATTATTTAAATTCATTTCTAGGCATGTATATATATATATATATATATATATATATATAACTAGACTCCAAGAACAAGATAATTTCTTGTTTAAAGCATTATTCAGATTGATTAAATGTAACACAGACTTGCTCACAAATAGGTCTAAAGTGTATTATATTTATTTCGGTTTCAGCAGTTGAATAGTACCATACAGATAGAATTACAAAAAGGAGTTAAGAGCTCTAATATATAAGTCCCTTCTTTGGTATGGTATTGCTTTATAGCCTGATAAAAAAGCTTAGGTCATCCAAGACAATAGTAACAGTATAGAGATTCTTGAATAAAACAACTGATATAGTTGTGTGTGATAGTTGATAGCAATAAACGTTGGATTAAACGTGTATCAAAACACAATATTGTATGATGAATAAAATAATACTGGACGTTAATAGGAAAACAGATTTCTAAACACAATTTAAATCGTACATAAATCAAAGATGATGTTAGGCATATAAAAGAAAAAAATCAACATTTATAAACTGATATGACATGATAAACAATACAATTAAATATAATGACAACAACTACTACTGTGTTAAATTGAAAAAGAAAGTAGATATTATGCTTTACTTAAGTTAACTAAACGCCCAAAACTCCAACTTATGAGTTTGATCAATAAAGTTTGTGTATGTAAATCTATGAACATCGAGATATGTATAAATGTTGTCTTATTCCATAAGAATGATATCAGTAGATAAGTGAAATTATAGTTCACATTATAAAATACAACAATTACGTAAATATTAATTAATCAATCCCAGAAAGTTACTAAGTATATAGTCTAGATTTTAATGCCATCTTTTTAGACCTTTTTTCTATTTACAAAATTCAATGATCTTGAGAACAATAAAATAAATGATCAACGTACAAATTAAATTTGAGGGACTGTTATAAAACCACTATCAAAATAAAACAATACTTACTGTTACATTTGAAGCAATTGTTCCACAGCAAAATAAAAATGTACGTGTGTTCTTTTCCAGTAGATTTGATGGTGAATAATAAGCCCATGTATATGAACTAAATATAAGTAGTCCTGCAGGTATAAGAGGTCTGACTACACCCCATAATCCAAGACCACGATGCCATGGTTGTTTATTTGGACAAGTTCTTATAATATTCCACAATGTAATTGGTATATGAACAAAGTAAAATGAAACTATTCAAAATTAATTAATAAAAATAGAAATGAGAGTAAACAAATTTAAGTTTTATTACATGTAAAAATAGATATACATTTCCTAAAAATATATGAACTTTACAATAGTAAACATTTATCACAATTGAAGAAAATATAGATTTCATTTTTTCAGAGTTTATTGATTATTTGAACTATTCACAAATATGTTTTTCAATCAGTAGTTTGGTGAAAAAAAAAGTTTAGAATGAGTTCTAGTGACAAATAAAAGGTTAGCAAATATAAACTTATTTATGAATAGTTTGTAACAACTAACTACAATTTATCGAATTTTACAATTGTTTTATGATCATCTATTTGAAGATTGTTCTAATGACCAATAACATCGCCCCCAAATGCCCTGGTACGGCCGAGAGTGGGGAGAGTCCGCTCTTCCTCTCGAAATGTTCTCACATGGCCACGCGTTAACAGCCTCTGTCAGGGAAGTCCTACTCACTGCCTTCTAGCACCACGGGTGTTGTTTACAAAAATGAGAGGACGAAAAGCGAATGTCCGGCACTTTAACCGGATCCCAAATCAATGGTGTACATGGGCTCCCGCATCCTGAAGGAACAAATGGCATATGAACCAATCGTTGGTCACCGGCTACCATGGGACTGCATCTCCTTACGATGCTCCGCTGCCTTGTGGATCAGATCTTCAGGTCGAAGGCTCGGGGTGTGGCCCCCTAAGGAAACCACCTGCTTCGATTTGGGCACCCGGGCAGTATCACAGCCCTCATACATATCAAATGAGATCTGTGTGTTGCATATGTATTTGGTGCCTCCTTGTATAAATATCTATGTGTTAAAATAAATAATTAAACCTGAGGTGTTTGTATATAGGGCCATCAAGATGTTAACGAACTTCAAATAAAATGAAAATGACGATATAAATGGGGATAAATAATAATAAGACTGGATAGATGAGAAAATATCTAAACAATTAGACTGTTGTCATCTTGATGATTTCATATAGATTTACTGTTGTGATGTGGCAACTTGGATGCATGAACACATAATTTCCACGATTTAACATTGCTTATGAATGACTGAAATTGGCATTTGACAAACATGATATGCTATATTAGTCACAATATTATAATAGAAACATATTTGAAAATTGTTCGGGTAATTAACTTCAGATACTATAACGAATAATTCAATTTTCCTACATCAGTTTAATCAAATTATCATAGTAGAACAATAACAATAAACGCCCCCAAATGCCCTGGTATGGCCGTGAGCGGGGAGGGTTCGCCCTCCCTCTCGAAATACTCTCACACGGCCACGCGTATACAGCCTCTGCCAGGGAAGTCCTACTCACTGCCTTCTCGTGGCATTACTGTTGTTTACGAAAATGAGAGGACGAAAAGCGAACGTCCGGCGCTATAACCGGATCCCAATTCTATGGTGCACATGGGCTCCAGTATCCTGCGGGAACAAATGGCGTATGAACCAACTTTTGGTCACCGGCTTCCATGGGACTGCATCTCCTCACGATGCTCCACTGCCTTGTGGATCAGACGTTCAGGTCGAAGGCTCGGGGTGTGGCCCCCTAAGAAAACCACCTGCTTCGGTCTGGGCACCCGGGCAGTATCTCAGCCCACACACTAAAACTATGATGAACTATCTGCTTATAGAAAATATTCGTTTCTCTCCGACTAACATTGAAATGACTGGTATTATTATTATTATTATTATTATTTACTACGTCGTTTATTCACTATCTCCTATTTCTACTTTTTGTATCCGTTTCGACTCAGACAGCAGCTCGCCTTTGGTGAAAATTCAGCTTTATCTAAACGTTCTCGAGTCACTGCCTGGTTGAAAATTGTATGTTGCCACCGGATACGAGTACTGAAGCAGTTTTTCTGAAACCACGTGCACCATTCAAACTGGCTGCCTTCAACGTTCGCACACTTATGCAGGTCGGACAACAGATAGGGCTGGCTATGTCTTTGGAAAGTCTTAATATTGATGTGTGTTGTCTATCCGAGACCCGTATTCAGGACTCTGGTGAACTACTACAAGTTCGCTCTCCATCTGTCACTTCAAAAAGCTTGTTTTATGTGCGTTTATCCGGGGACCCTGTGGCATCTTCGTCTGGTCTTGCTGGCGTTGGTGTCGCACTAAGCGCAAGAGCTGAGGCAGCACTAGTCGACTGGATCCCCATTAACAGTCGGTTATGTGCTGTTAGATTAGAAAGTTCCATCAAAGTGAGAAGAAATAGGCGTGAGAAACGATGTCTTTTCGTCATCTCCGCCTATGCCCCGACAGATTGCAGCCCGGATGCAATCAAGGACGAGTTCTACCACCAGCTAACTGTTCTTCTCCAGAAAGTGCGTTCGACAGATATTGTAGTACTAGCTGGAGACTTGAATGCTCAGGTCGGGCGTCTAGGCACAGAAGAGAGTCGTTTAGGTGGCCGATGGGGACTCGTTGGTCGCAGGACAGATAACGGGGAACGTCTACTGCAACTATGCACAGACCACAACCTGTTTCTGGCTAGCACTAACTTTCGGCACAGTCATCGCCGATGTGCCACCTGGCGTCCCCCTTCTGCATCTCAAGCCTGGACTCAGATTGATCACATCGCGATCAGCTACCGCTGGCGTGGTTGTGTACAAGACTGCCGCTCCTTTTGGAGTACCTATCTGGAATCTGATCATGCTCTGGTCTGCGCCAATCTTACCTTACTTTTCAGTGGACAACGAAGTGACCGCAACCAAAGGATTGATGTTAGCAAGCTGGCTGCAACTTCTGTTGCTAGTAAGTACCGATCCGAGCTAGCTTCTAGGCTAGCTACCATTCCACCGAAAAGTATAGATGAGCATTGGTTGCAATTGCATGACGCCATGAAAATGGCGGGTACAGTCTGTTGTGGGTTCGCGAAACGTCCCGCTTACAAGCACTGGGTTTCTTCTGGTTCCTTACAACTGATTGAAGCCCGTCGGTCTACTCCGGGTGACCGTGAGTTTGACCACAGACGAAGGATTTTACGTAATGAAATCGGGCAAAGCTTGCGTAAGGACCGAGAAACCTGGTGGTCGCAGCGTGCCAGTGAGTTGGAAGCAGCAGCTGCATCTGGTAATTACCGGAAGCTCTTCCAACTCATCCGAGCCTCTGGCAGCAAGAAGTTTGGTGTGAGCGAAACAATCTGCGAGGATAACGGAACGCCAATCACTAACATCCATCGACGTCTTGGACGACGGGCAGAATTCTTTGAAGGGCACTTCAACTGGCCTGCTGCTCCGGCAACATCGGTCAGACTGTCCTGCCCTCCATGGCCGGTGACGACTGGTCCACCAAATGAGGCGGAAGTCCACAAGGAACTCCGACTCTTGAAACGCTACAAATCACCGGGCCCAGATGACTTACCTCCGGCTCTTCTCAAAGATGATGGTGACTTTCTGACTAAGGGACTGACGACGTTGTTTACAAAGATCTGGGAACTAGAGAGTGTACCAACGTCATGGAATGAGTCGATAGTTGTCCCTATCTTTAAAAAGGGTTCACGTTGTTCCTGTAACAACTATCGGGGGATAAGTCTACTTCCGATTGCGTCCAAGCTATTGGCTTCCGTCATACTTCGTAGGTTGTTCAGAACCCGAGGAAGATTGACTCGCGAGGAGCAGGCTGTGTTTCGTTCTGGTCGAGGATGTATTGACCATATCTTCACCCTCCGCCAAGTGTTAGAACACCGCTATACTTATCAAAGGCCAACAATCGTAGTGTTTCTTGATATCAGGGCTGCCTTCGATTCGTTGGACAGAACTGTTCTCTGGGATTGTCTATTGAAGAAGGGTGTGCCTGAGAAGTTTATTAACATCCTAAAAGCCCTATACACAAACACCTCAGGCAGAGTGAGGGCATACAACCACCTTTCTCCACTATTCCATTCGAGCAGTGGGGTTAGACAGGGTTGCCCAATCTCACCATTCCTCTTCAACTTTGCCATTGATGACACTCTGGAAACAGCTCTGACGGGTGTAAGTAATGGTGGTGTGGATCTGTTGCCTGGAGAAAGACTTCTCGACCTTGAGTATGCGGATGATATTGTCTTACTGTGCGAGAATGCCCAAGCCATGCAATCCGCACTTAATCAGTTGGCAATCAGTGTCCGTAGGTATGGTATGTGCTTTGCACCTTCGAAGTGCAAAGTTCTTCTACAAGACTGGCAGGATTCTAATCCTGTACTCACTCTGGATGGTGAGCAGATTGAAGTAGTCGAGAAGTTCGTGTATCTAGGTAGCTGCATAAGTGCTGGTGGTGGTGTGAGTGATGAGATCAATGCACGTATAGTGAAAGCCAGAACGGCTTATGCCAATCTGGGCCATCTTTGGCGCCTTCGTGATGTTAGTCTGGCTGTAAAAGGTCGGATATACAACGCGTCGCTGAGAGCAGTTTTGCTCTATGTTTGTGAAACCTGGCCTTTCCAAGTTGAGGATGTTATACGTCTTTCTGTGTTTGATCATCGCTGTCTCCGAAGGATTGCTGACATCCAGTGGCAACACCATGTCAGTAATGCAGAGGTTCGGCATGGTGTGTTCGGGCACAGAGACGATAATGCAATTGGTGTCATCATCTTGAAACGTCGACTTCGGTGGCTTGGACATGTTCTACGAATGTTGTCCCAGAGAATTCCACGTCGTGCATTATTTGCCGACTCTGGGACTGGTTGGGAAAAGCGGAGAGGTGGTCAGTGTATGACATGGTGTCGTGGTATGAAAGAAAGCTGCAAAGGGCTAGCTTCTGTTGGTCCTTCACGACTCCCAGGTTGGGGTCCGAAAGACGGTGTAACGCAGTGGCTAGAGACGTTATCAGATATGGCTTAGAATAGAAGCCAGTGGCGATCCTGCTGCAACCTTCTCTTACTTTCTTCATAAAGTGTTTGTATCTTCCTTAACTGAAAGATCTCTTCTGATTGTACCTTTCCGTTTCCCCCACCATTGTTCTCTCTCTCTCCCTTTTTTTTATAATTGTAAGCAGCTAATGAGAATCCAAGACGTCCAATTAGACATGACTTATCGATCCATCATTACGAAACGTCGAATTCTCTAACTTGAAACACAGGAATTTAGGTGAATAATTATTTACACGTATATGTAATGGATCACTCACATAGTAAACTCTTTATTGACTTGATATATATCGAATACACTTTCACCTCTGACCTTAAGTCTTACAATCACTACGTAGCCACGACATGAACACATTTTTGATTTGTCAATAAGTTTGCTTGAACCTAATACCCTGAATAATTTCTATACAAAAGTAGAGGTTACTAACATTTGAAAACTTCACAGACTGATTTCGTGTTTTGGCTTGATCTTCCCTTGCTTTCAAATCACTTCTATTCCCATGAAATATGTTAGGCACATTCCAATGACTACAGTTTGTGAAAATTTATGGCTTTGTAAATGGATTTATCATCTTTACCCAATACTTTTGCCTAACCTTATCAATCTAAGGCTGAATTTTAGTGGTAAAAAATAATCTTTCAAAAAGTTACATGTTTGAAAAATTATCTATTATTTCGGTTAAGACAGCTAGATAGTGTTAAAAACACTGAAATATACGTTGTGATTCAAAGCTGGGTAAGAATATGCACTTGATTAACAAGTTACACAGTAAAATTCACTGTTTTTCAAGGACCTACAAAAGCAAATAATTCAAAAATTGCTCGGTATTAAGTAAGAAGAATATATATGTAAAATCTCAGCGATTTTCAAATTTAGATGGAGGTTTTTATATATTACTAGTCATCCTAGAAACTAATCGTAAAATTTAGATATGGAATTTTGATTTTAATCACTTGGTTGTCGATTAGGAAACTAATTAACTGCTGTTTAAGCAACTCAAGACCACTTTAAAACTTAGTTATTGGAATAATACACGAACAAACAACTGACTAATCAATTACACTGGATATCACAAATATGCTGATTGATGATGAACATACCTTTTGATCAAAGAATCAACTAGCAAATAAAACTTATATATCATAACTAGAAATATTCTACTGGTAATAAGTCTCTGAAAACTTGAAACTAACTGTTTGATTAAGCCAAGATTCTATAGAATAGATACATAATTAGCTAAGTAAAATCAATTAGTAGAAATCAAGTTGCACAGTAAAAAAATATATAAATTTTTACATTTGTGTATCAACTTGGTCAAAATAAAATCCGTCTGTATCTAATGTAAAGTCTGCACAGAATGAACAATAAATAAAAAACAAGGTCATACACACAGACCAGTGAGTGTACATGAATATTTGAACTAGGCTATTAAGCTTGTTTACTTCCGCATAAACATAAATACGTGACTGACCACGTTCCAATGTTGTGTACAATATCCATATTCATGTACAGCTGTCTTACTATATATATATATATATATATATATATATATATATATATATATATATATATATATATATATATATATATATATATATATATATATATATATATATATATATATATATATATATATATATATATAAACGAAATTAATTTTTAGCACTACTTACAAAAGAGTGTGAACTTGAAAACAGCTGCACATGACCAGCCAAATAAAAGTGGTTTCATAAAAATAGTAGGTGATCGCCAATAGGCGAGCAGGAAGACCAGAGCAACCATCTAAAGTTTGAAAAGACAATAATAATAACAAATAATAGAATATTCCCTTCCTGTTATCAAGGTTTACATGTGCATCATATTTTTTTAACTAACTTGATTGGAATAAACAAATAAATCGATGAACTGAATAAATAGATATGCACAACAACTATGCCGAATGTTTGTAAATTCAGGCGAGAATACCAATAAACAAATTGTTTTTAATTCATTTTATTTATTGATGGCGTTCCAGAAATTTCAATATGGTTCGAGTGATAGGTGGTAAAAAGACTCAATTTTGAATTACAGTAACACGTGACTTAGATTACTGAAGTATGGTTGTGAACAGAATTAAACACTACATTTTTAAAAAGATCTTATGATCGATAAGACTGATCAGTCATGGTAGTGGGACATTCACGAAAAGGATTAATCTAACGAATTCATATTAAAGTGAACAAGCAAAATTCAAAATATTCACAATTATTACAATCACATGTAGTATATTCAAATTTAACTGGATCATTATGTCGATCAGAAAATATCTAGACCAACCAACTAGTAGAAGCCTTACTAACCATGTGCAAGTACTCAGTTTGTAGCTGTACTACATATGAGTTATAGATACCACGTGGTTACCTTAATCGAATTAAGAGGATCATGGAACCAATTTGTGACATGTTGGTTTGAAGTCAAATGTTTAAGGCACTGTAACTAACCCAACATACATATCTATGATTACATAACCTATAATTGATTTACAAAAGGTTTAGCTAGCGAAAATTTTAAGTTCACCGGGAAAACTTTTAATTTACTAAAGAAGAATAAGGGCAATTTTAGTGAAGAAAAATTTCATTTCGATGACTTCATTGTATGGTCGAATCTATCGTCTATTTATTTACTAAAATAGTAGTCTACAGTAATATAAAAGTGTTGTGTAGTTCTATAAAATTAAAGTTATGCCGTGTCATAAATTGTTCATACAGGTCAAACAATTGAAAGCAATTTATGTAATAATCTATCAAATAATTAAAAAAATATATTAAGATGAAGATGGTCTGTTTACACAATAAATATCAAGAACACAATAATTAAATGTTGTAATAATAACTAATGTTTCAGTAATTGAGATCACGAGTCAATTGAAGCTAGACCACCACGGAAAATCTGGAAGCACTGAAAGTCCGTTTCGTCCTATTGTGGAACTTCTTAGCAGTGCGCATCCACGACCCCCGCCTCGCAGGATTCGAACCCAGGACCTATCGGCCTCGCACCAGGCGCTTAACCAACTAGACCACTGAGCCGGCATCCAGTGGTGTTAATGTCTAACTTCAACTAATCCACGAGATTGAGCGACATATCCACCATTGTCATATGTAAGTTACTATCCCCAAATGCCCTGGCAGCCCCCAAATGCCCTGGTATGCCCCCAAATGCCCTGGTATGGCCGAGAGTGGGGAGAGTCCGCTCTCCCTCTCAAAATGCTCACACATGGCCACGCGTATACAGCCTCTGCCAGGGAAGTCCTACTCACTGCCTTCACGTGGCGGGGGTGTTGTTTACGAAAATGAGAGGACGAAAAGCGAATGTCCGGCGCTTTAACCGGACTCCAAACCAATGGTGCACATGGGCTCCAGTATCCTGAAGGAACAAATGGCGTATGAACCAATCGTTGGTCACCGGCTACCATGGGACTGCATCTCCTCACGATGCTCCACTGCCTTGTGGGTCAGACGTTCAGGTCGAAGGCTCGGGGTGTGGCCCCCTAAGAAAACCACCTGCTTCGGTTTGGGCACCCGGGCAGTATCACAGCCCTCACACATATCAAATGAGATCTGTGTGGCGCATATGCATTTGGTGCCTCCTTGCACCAATATCTATGTGTTGAAATGAAATGAAATGAATATGTAAGTTACTATCTCACAAGTGACCCGGTTGAACTCCACTTGATAAAAATGCCAGTATCCTTATTCACATTTAATTGTTTCCATGAATAAGCTAATACATACATTTGTGCATGGGCATGTATGATTTTACTCAAGAACACATGGTAATTACAATTATATAAGCATAAGAATTATGCGTTATCATTATTAAAGTTTACATTTTGAACACATACATTTATTTTTTTACTGTTGTTCTTTTTAAGATACAGTAATAATAACTAATTAGTATATTACTTCTCTGTTTTAAGAAGTAAACAGATAACGAATTTAAGGGTAGAAAATTTTACGTAAACAAATTTGTTCAGTGCACTTACCCATGAAAATGTACTTTTAGAATATTATTATTTTGTCACCAAACATCAAATTATTATAGTTAAATAATTAGTACGTGCATAGTTGAATTCATGAGTCGATTAAAGCTAGACCACTATGGAAAACCTGGAAGCACTGGACGGCCGTTTCGTCCTGGTATGGAACTCTTCAGCAGTGCGCATTTACGATCCCGCACGCGTGATTCAACCCAGGACCTATCGGTGTCGCGCGCAAACGTTTAACCTCTAGACCACTGAGGCGGCATCGAACTATGCTAATGTCTAACTTTAACTGATTCACCATAGTCTTCAGTGAGTAACTTCCTCACAACAAACACGGTTTAACTCCACTGTTCACGGCTTCTCACTAGAACTTCAGGAAATACCTCTAGTAAGCACATGATGATTATTATCAGACTGAAGGTTTTCGTAGAGATTGTAATTTAATAGTTCAATTCATGAGTCCCCATGGAAAACCTGGGAGTGATCTAGAGGTGAAGCGTTTGAGCGCGACACCGATAGGTCCTGTGTTGAATCACGCGTGCGGGATCGTGGATGAGCACTGCTGAGGAGCTCCACAATAGGACGAAACGGCTGTCCAGTTCTTCCAGGTTTTCCATGGTGGTCTAGCTTTAATCGACTCATGAATTCAACTACTAAGTCACCGCAATCTCCAGTCAGTCAGCTACAACGTAGGACCAGGAACACACATGCATCGGTCCAAGTTGCCACACCTCATTAGCACAAGATGAACACCAGATTCATAGAAGTAATTAATTTAGTGGTGGTAATATATAAAAACCACGATCTCCACAAACTTTTAATATAATAGTACATGTATATTTGATCAAGGTCTACGATTACATGATTTAAATGAAAAATGAGAAAAAAACCATTAGAAACAATTATTGACTGTACGATTAGTATTACGGTATGGTATTTAATTAATTGTGAATTTACACAACAGACCGATAGGTATGCACATGAAATATCTACTGTAGACTCAGTTGAATTCATACCGTTTACGTAGCTGTTAGTTTTTGAAAATATGCAACCTTAAATTACAACTCGTAAAAATCAAATCAATGTTGATTAGGTTAAAATTCTTTTACGGTAAACTATCATTTCGTGTGAACATTATTTTTGGAATTTTAAAATTTTTAGGACATTTCGAGTTAGTGATAAATACTTAGTTTAAATATTTCATTTTTTTCACTGATATATGATCGAGAAATTTTTGTCTTTCTGAATGGTTACACAAAATCAACACCAAACAGCTTCATCTACAAAACTGGTGTTTTCACTCTAGCGAGGATGGGAAAAGAACTGTAAGGAGTTAGTTTTTATTTCACGGTGTCGAAATGGGAGTGGCGCGAATAGTTAACACAGTGGACGAACGTATCATAATTAATCACTAAACCATGTTGCAAAATAAACTGAGTTTACTCAAAGCTTTTTATTTTAATGCATCGTTATTGAAGAGAAAGTAATAACAATTTGACAGATGCTTTAACTCGTTAGTTGTAAAGCACACAGTAATTACAAATTTATTAAATAAAGAGATGGAAGCTTACAAGTTGAAGCATTTGACTCCTAATGATCGGGTAGTAAAATTGAACTGTATTTCATTAACTTCAGCCTCAGTAACCAGCCAATACATATAAAGTTGTAAATCAATCAGTACCCGGTAAACCAGAGACAAGTTAAATAGATAAACATATGAAAACATAGATTACTTACTATTTGACTTGTATCGAACGTCCAAGGTAGAAATAAGGTACCCGTAATGTATTTTTCCCAATGGGATAGAAGAAAAGTGATAATTAATACCCACTGCCCCATAAACATTTCTCTCACAGTATAAATATTACCTAACAATGAGAACATTGATCCAGCAAGAAAAAGACACACCCACGAATCGCATCCATGGTCAAATAATTCACCAAGAGCCGATGACGACCTAGTTCGACGAGCCTGTTTTCCATCTGTACCATCTAAAGTGAGAAATTATTGTTCAGTTTACAATGTGGAACGAACCTAAAGTATGGGCAATGAATACAAGGAAAGCTGTAACAAGCCAAACCCAAGTAGGAACATTGACTGTTGAGAAGAAAGTGGGATTATAGCAGCACAATAGGAGATAATGGGCTACAGTTAGAAGGAAACCAGTGAATGTTATGAGGTTTGGAGCTAGCCAAACAGGGTAAAACTACAAGTAAATAAGGACTTGTTAATGGATAGATAAACCATACTTTTGCCAACCAATTCCAGAAGGGATGCATAACATATACTGAAAAGGGTGAATTATCCACACACGAGTATTTATAATTTTTTAATCCGGATACCATTTGATCAGTTAGTTGGTGCATTTTTTTCGATTTTGTAATTTGTATCCCGGTGACTTAATCGATAGCAAGGACTAAAATACAAAACATTCAAAAAGCTTATTACGTATGCATACAGAATAAAAAGATTTCTTAGAACTAACAAAACAGAAAACAACATACTAATCAAGATAGGATAAACCTTAAACCAACCTTTACTTTTTATTCTTTATTAGATTCTAACAATATCACGATGCAATATAGAAGGTAACAAGAAAGGAATGCCACACGTATTTGTGACAATTTGTAGTCCGTATGAACTTACTACTTACTTATGCCTGTTACCCCTTGTGGACGACCATAGGTCACGCATCGGCATTTTCCAGTCAACCCTGTTCTCGGCAATCCTTTCCAGTTACTATTCATTCTTTTTATGTCTGCTTCCAACTCTCGACATAGTGTGTTCCTTGGTCTTTCTCTTTTTCGCATTCCCTGACTTAAGGATTCCAAGTTGACGCTTTCTTCATGATGTCGTTTGATGATTTCCTCAATGAATGTTCTATCCATCTCCAGCGTCTTTACCTAATTTCTTTTTCAACTGGAAGCTGGTTGTAGTTCATCATGTCGAAGGGCAGTTCAACTGGCCTGCTGCTCCGGCAACATCGGTCAGACTGTCCTGCCCTCCATGGCCGGTGACGACTGGTCCACCAAATGAGGCGGAAGTCCACAAGGAACTCCGACTCTTGAAACGCTACAAATCACCGGGCCCAGATGACTTACCTCCGGCTCTTCTCAAAGATGATGGTGACTTTCTGACTAAGGGACTGACGACGTTGTTTACAAAGATCTGGGAACTAGAGAGTGTACCAACGTCATGGAATGAGTCGATAGTTGTCCCTATCTTTAAAAAGGGTTCACGTTGTTCCTGTAACAACTATCGGGGGATAAGTCTACTTCCGATTGCGTCCAAGCTATTGGCTTCCGTCATACTTCGTAGGTTGTTCAGAACCCGAGGAAGATTGACTCGCGAGGAGCAGGCTGTGTTTCGTTCTGGTCGAGGATGTATTGACCATATCTTCACCCTCCGCCAAGTGTTAGAACACCGCTATACTTATCAAAGGCCAACAATCGTAGTGTTTCTTGATATCAGGGCTGCCTTCGATTCGTTGGACAGAACTGTTCTCTGGGATTGTCTATTGAAGAAGGGTGTGCCTGAGAAGTTTATTAACATCCTAAAAGCCCTATACACAAACACCTCAGGCAGAGTGAGGGCATACAACCACCTTTCTCCACTATTCCATTCGAGCAGTGGGGTTAGACAGGGTTGCCCAATCTCACTATTCCTCTTCAACTTTGCCATTGATGACACTCTGGAAACAACTCTGACGGGTGTAAGTAATGGTGGTGTGGATCTGTTGCCTGGAGAAAGACTTCTCGACCTTGAGTATGCGGATGATATTGTCTTACTGTGCGAGAATGCCCAAGCCATGCAATCCGCACTTAATCAGTTGGCAATCAGTGTCCGTAGGTATGGTATGTGCTTTGCACCTTCGAAGTGCAAAGTTCTTCTACAAGACTGGCAGGATTCTAATCCTGTACTCACTCTGGATGGTGAGCAGATTGAAGTAGTCGAGAAGTTCGTGTATCTAGGTAGCTGCATAAGTGCTGGTGGTGGTGTGAGTGATGAGATCAATGCACGTATAGTGAAAGCCAGAACGGCTTATGCCAATCTGGGCCATCTTTGGCGCCTTCGTGATGTTAGTCTGGCTGTAAAAGGTCGGATATACAACGCGTCGCTGAGAGCAGTTTTGCTCTATGTTTGTGAAACCTGGCCTTTCCAAGTTGAGGATGTTATACGTCTTTCTGTGTTTGATCATCGCTGTCTCCGAAGGATTGCTGACATCCAGTGGCAACACCATGTCAGTAATGCAGAGGTTCGGCATGGTGTGTTCGGGCACAGAGACGATAATGCAATTGGTGTCATCGTCTTGAAACGTCGACTTCGGTGGCTTGGACATGTTCTACGAATGTTGTCCCAGAGAATTCCACGTCGTGCATTATTTGCCGACTCTGGGACTGGTTGGAAAAAGCGGAGGGGTGGTCAGTGTATGACATGGTGTCGTGGTATGAAAGAAAGCTGCAAAGGGCTAGCTTCTGTTGGTCCTTCACGACTCCTAGGTTGGGGTCCGAAAGACGGTGTAACACAGTGGCTAGAGACGTTATCAGATATGGCTCAGAATAAAAGCCAGTGGCGATCCTGTTGTAATCTTTTATTACTTTCTTCATAAAAAGTGGTTGCTTTGTCCTTAACTGAAAGATTTTCTCTGATTGTACCTTTTCGTTTCCCCCATTACTACTATTACACTACCTTACACTAATCTGTTCGTATTGTTCTTTTTTACTCTCTTTTTCCCCTTCTCTTTAAATTCTCATTGTTTTGTGTGGCGCATATGTATTTGGTGCCCCCTTGTACCAATATTTATGTGTTCAAATATATAAATAGATAAATACGCTGTTGTAGATGGTATCCGGTCAACGGACATTCGATATCTCGCATAGACAATTATTTATCAATACTTTTGTTGGTGGTTGTGGTAGTTCTCGAAGTTTTAGCCCCATTTAGTAGAACTATCCTGATGTTCGTATTGAAGATTGTGGCTTTGTTGTTGGCTGACAATTGTTTTGAGTTCTATATGTTGTTCAACTGAAGGAACGCTGTCTTTACTTTGCCGATCCTCGCCTTCACGTCTGCATTTGATCTTTCTTATCCATCGATGACGCTGATATCCAGGTACGTAGGACTTTCCACTTCCTTGAGTGTTTCACTATCAAGTGTGATTGCGTTAGTGTTCTCTGTATTGCATCTGAGGGTGTTGGTTTTTCCATCGTGTATGTTGAGGCCAGGTGTTGCAAAAGCTCCTGCCACACTAGTTGTCTTCATCTGCATTTGTTGGTGCGTATTGGATAGAAGAGCTAAGTCACCTATGAAGTACACATCGTCTAGTTGCATCCACCTTATTCATTGTATTTCATGCTTCCGCTCAGATGTGGAGGTCTTAATGAATCAGTCACTATTAGGTGGATTCCAAATAAACGGTTGAAAAAGTGTTTTTTGTGGCACCTCACTGAATGTTCACAAGTACGAACTAATTTTCAAGTTGTTGTCTAGGGTGATGAATACGAGTAGCTCTTTTCATAGATGTTGAGTTAACTGTTTTGATAACCTAACATTAGAAACAGTGCACGCGATAAAGTCATGTAGACTAATGGCTACATTTGAACATCATTGACGGAAGTACATTAGTAAGAAGAGCTAAACAATGACAATGATTATTGCCTCGTCATCAACTAATGTATTTCTTACGTCACCAGTGGCCTGAATAGCTAAATGGAAACATTTTAGCTCGAATCTCACAAAAGCATTTCTTTGAAATTCCATGCGCTTCTGACCGTTAAGTGCCAATTACAATGAAATCTAGGTTCAGGATTTTCTCCTAACTCCAGCTTACTACCCAACACATGTTATTATTTAATATAAAGCCGCTGTTTATTACGTCTTATTCAGAAATGCAGGTAAAAGTAGCAAACGGGTAGCAAAAAGAGGCTTAATAGGTGTTGGTCGTAAACAAATAATAACGATTTTCATATAATAGATGCCTGATTATCGACTATTGAACCGAATCGTAAGTTGAAATTGACTTGAGTGCTTAGGTTGACCAAAACTAGTAGTAATAAACCTTAAGAAGGACGTGTTTCGAAATTTACAGAAGTGACACTGATGAATTTAATACGATTTATGCTATCATGCATATTTCTTTGCAACTCCTGTCTTATATAGTCATTTTTCTGGACCCGAGTAGTATGATGACTAGGACTAATTAATACATAGGATCCAACGGCGAGACTATAATTTATAGACGAACCAATCACGTATATAATAGCAGATCTTGGATTTTGGCCCGGAATTCGCTTATCCATTTGGAGAAATAGTTTTGGCAAACTTTGATGGAACCACAGATTTTTTACGGCTTTCGGGAAAGTCCTGAAATTTACCCCAATGCCCCCGAAATTTTCCCAAGATATTGAGATTGGGACATTTAAATCACAAAACTAGATAAGTTTCATACACAATAGCATGACATGTTGCAAGGACCAATAGGGCAGTTAAATTCATAAGTTAAGTGTCCCCTAATAATATGAACCAAAAATTGACCAAATAATATTGGAAAAAATCATTACTAATATATTTAAATTCGGTCAGTGCAAAGCCTTTAATTTCATGCCAATTTAATTACGTGATATAATTAGTGAAGATGACTTAAAATGAGCTTACAAATAGGCGAAACTTCGGCGAACCCTAAAATATTGAAACCACACGGACACTTGCACGTCTCGGTAACACTGAAACCTCGCCCTCGGACTGTGACCTTGATCCGCAGTAATAAAAATAATTCGAATATTTTCAGTAAATAGTGATGAAGAGGAGTTTATTTTCATTCTAATACGTTAATATTTGAACTATATCTTCCATATTTTAAGATCAGGAGATGGTACCACAAAGTTCGATTGATTCCAATACCTGGAATCTTTAAAAGTGTAACAGATTTGCAGTCGTGTATTTATGCCAACAGTACTGCTTATATGTACCAGACGAGTCATGAGAAGCTATCGCGATGTTGAACTTGGCTCTAAAGCCCAACTCCACCGGATCCTTTCGAGGAACCTGATGACGTTTGGTCAGTCCATCCACAAATCGATATTTAGTCGCCTTTACCAAGAATAAAGATGATTGACCCATGTAGATTGAATGAATACGGACTGACTGAAAGATGTTATGTTAGGTATGAGTATCTAAGGTAGCAGATATCGAGGATTTCCTCTGTACTTCACCCTCTAAATGACGGCAGTCAGAAAACAGCTAGCAAACCAAGTGTAAGGCTTAGTCTGTTCATAGCATGCAGAGTAACAGAAGCTAGTCTGACAAGGCAAATTATTTAGCACTCTCTAGAATCTCAGAACGGGTCTCGCGCAATAATATTTGAATAAATAATGGTCTACTCAACTAACTAGTTCTTCAAGTTATCCCTGCGGTCACTATATCAAATGTTTAAAGACGTAGTCAGTCAGTCAGCTACAACGTAGGATCAAGCATATATATTCATCAGCCCAAGCTGCCACACTACTTAGCTCAACAAGATCAACACTAAATTCATAGGAGTAGTCACTTTCATGGTAGTAATATATAAAAGAATGATTGTATGTAAGGACATAGTACAGAAAGAAAGATATTAAATAATTTTAATCTCACGGTTTAAGGGAAAACAAAGAGTGTATAAACCTACGCCATTGTGATCGACTCCGAGCCATCTCAACCAGAGTCTCCAAACATTGATTGCGATAGTCACGCGGACTACAACTAAGTAGTCTGAATCTACCAACATGGCTCAGACTAGAAGTTAGTGACTCGAAGCAATGATTCCACGTTTTGGTTTGGCCACCCGTAACTTTCTCCCAACCATTCCCAACACTAGTCAGCATTGCGAGTCGTGGTAATCGATGTTCAGGCATACGCAACACGTGGCCCAACCATCTCAGTCGATGAAAATTCACAACCTCATCAACTGATTTACCATCATTCCCTAATAGCCTGTGTCTAACCTCCTTATCACTTACCCGATGATCCCAGCAGATGCAAGCAATATTTCTCAGGCACATGTGGTCAAACACTAGTAGCTTACGAGTATCTTCTACTCTTAATGGCCATGTTTCGCAACCGTAAATTAAAACAGATCGAACTGCCGCACAGTATACTCGTCCTTTTATTGATAGATGGATATCTCGCCTTCACCATAGGTGACGTAAGTTGGCTGAAGTCAAACGAGCTTTTCGAATCCGTGCTGAGATTTCGTCAGACACCAACCCGTTTGGGCTGATCAGCCTTCCAGGATAAGTGAAGTTGTCGACGCGTTCGACTACTTCACTCCCTATCCTTTGTTCAGGTGTAGACGCAGGCCAGTTTTGAAGAATCAACTTGCATTTAGAGTGGGTAAAACGTATTCCATCAAAAGACTCTGAATTTCATTTACGTCTTCACCGAACGTGATTACGTGATCTCCATATTCTGTGTCGACAAGTGGACCTCCTGAAAGGAGATCGATTCCCGGGAATTCAGAACGATATTGCCAGCAGCAGGTCTATGATGAAATTGAACAACAATAAAGATGGTAAACAGTCTCTCCGGACACCAAATGAGGTTGCAAAGGCAGATGACAGTTCGCCATAAGCTTTCACTCGACTAGTAGTGTTCGAGTAAAGAGCCTTCACAAGGTTTATGTACTTCTGAGGTACGTCTTTAAATGACAAACACTGCCACAGAATCTCTCGGTCCACAAAGTCAAACGCTGCTTTTAAGTCAAGGAAGACCTCCATTGTTGGACGCCGATAAGTATGCCTGTGTTCTAGAACCTGACGAATGGTGAATATGTGGTCGATGCATTCACGACCAGGTCTGAGGCCAGCTTGATTCTCTCGTGTTCTCAGTTCATGAGTCTTAGTTAGGCGTCCGATAATTATTGAGGCTAGCATTTTAGATGCTGTATTAATTGAACTAATCCCTCTATGGTTGTCACAGGATGATTTTGACCCTTTCTTATATATTGGGACGATAAGTGATTGTGACCAGTTAGATGGGACTACGTCCAACCTAATTGCTAAAACTAGACCACCATCCCTAAAGACCTATGGAGCCAATACATCTGGACCAGATGCCCTACCTCGTTTCAGATTAGCTATAGCCTTTTGAAATTCAGCTAGATTTGGGGGACCTACTTCAATGTTCCATTCACAGTGCCTGGGAATGGTGGGTAGTTGTAGAGTAGCTGAAGGCCAGCTGAACTGCTCCTTAAAGTTTTCCGCCCTTCGTTCTAAACGTCTAGACTGGGAGCACATAGGAATGTCGTCTTTTTCCGAGATAGTCTCACTTACACCTGACTTTTAGTTCCAGTTTCTTTTATTAGTCTGAAGAGCTGTCTGGTGTTTCCTATAGCCACCGCCTTTTCCATCTCTTTTGATTTCGTTACCCACCACTGCTCACGGTCGTTCCTTAGACTTTTGGTTGACCTAGATCTAATTTATTTTCGCTCTTCATCGTGTCCAGAGCCTGACGGGATGAGTCTACGAGAATCCTTTAGTACAATAGACTTAGAAGAATTTCATTGGTTTTTTTTAACTCTGGTTGAAATGAATAACCCATGTTACTACTGTTTCCACAGTGTTTGTATATCTTTCCAAGCAAGATCTGGGTCAGCTTCGTTTTCAGAACTACCTAAGTGTGACCTCAGTTGTTTTGGAATCTACTTTCGGCTTTCTCACCACTCAACTCAATTCTAATAGGTCTTTTTAATGTGGCTTTCCTGCGTCTAGTAGGGCTTAACCAAATGCGTGCCTGTATTAGAGCATGGTCGGAGTCCAAGCAGGTAATCCAAAACGAGCGACAATCTATCCACCTTGTCCAATGATGACGGATGACAATATGGTCTATTTGAGTCCATCGTTGGTTCGGCGCACGGGGTCACCATGTTAGACTGTGCCTCTCCTTATGCCCAAAATTTGTGTTTGCTAAAAATAAACGATTGTCTGGGCACATTTGAAGCAGACGATCACCATTATCTGTTCTCTGAGCCGGAATACTAAAATACCGGCGAGACTCGAATTTATGTACCGCCTTTGAGTGAATTCTAAGTGACCTTGAGAAATATTAGCCAATCAGAAAACAGTAAGTACAGAGTAAAAATATACTATACAAAACCAAGGAAATGAAGTGGATACAATTCTTATACCTGGTTCAAAAACTTGTCAAGGTTAGAAAGAGGTTCAAAGGTTCTAAAATCGTAATACATGCATTGGAGGAAGTCATCCAAACGGCTACAGAATAGTCGGCCTCTGGAACCATGATAAAGTCTCAAAAACTCTTTCAGCCTCGACCACATAGCTTCAATATTGTTTATGTGCACTCCGGTTGTTGAGTACACAAAGTGCCACTTGTGGATAACGACAAGATGCACATAAACAAGCCTATGTAGGAGTCTTTACGCTCTCCGAACGTCCGTATATATTGCTGGTGCTTTATCATCCAGTTCGCGATAATTGTCATAATTTGCCTTAGTTAAGAATTATGTATGGGGTTTCCATCACGAACTGACATCAGCTATAATGCCAGAAATCTATTAAGCCAAATGGATGAAAGGCTTTCGCGTTAAAATCCGAGATCTGTTATCTTATACCTGATTGATTCGTTCACAAATTGTAGTCTCGCTGTTTCATTTGTTGTAGCCGCTCAATTATCACGTTTTGTACAAAATTTCCTGTAAACCGACCGTACGTTAGCATTAAGCACTGAAGTTGGCACCGTCACCTTGAACTTTTTAAAACGCTTCCGATTGGCTCGTCCATAATTTAAAGTCTCGCCTGTTCTTTTTTGCCATTTTCAATAACGTATTTGGTGAAGGATAGGTATAAGGACTAGTTAACTGATGCTTGGAATTCAGAAGACGAGGGTTACTGATTGGTGTGAATATATATATATATATATATATATATATATATATATATATATATATATATATATATATATATATATATATATATATATATATATATATATATAGTTTCGTCAGTTACTTCTAGTGAAGGAGCATAAACCGCCCATCGGCATTCTCCATCCAATCCTGTTATGAGCAATTCTTTCCAGCTCTTTCCAGTTGTTATTCATCCTTTTCATATTCGCTTCTATTTTACAACGTAATGTGTTCTTTGTCCTTCCTATTTTCCACTTCCCTTCAGGATTCCATGTTTGGGCTTGTCTCGTGATGCAGTTTGATGATTTGCGTAATGTATGTCCTATCCATTTCCATCGTCTTTTCCTAAGTTCCTCTTCAGATAGAACCTGGTTTGTTCTCTTCCATAAAAGACTGTTGCTGAGGGTATTCGGCCAATGGATGCTGAGTATCTTGCGTAGACAGCTATTGATTACTACTTTTACCTTCTTGATGATGGTTGTAGTAGTTCTCCACATCTCAGCTCCTTTCAGTAGAACTGCCTTGACGTTGTTATTGAAGACTCTAACTTTGATATATATAAAACTTAAAATGATATCTTTAGCTGTTAGCGTAGTTGCACGAATTGTAAATCTTGTAACAGCTTATTCGTATTTGTGAATAATCTTATCCTATTTATTTTATTAAACATTGATAAAACTTCGTCTAATTTATAGTGATTAAATTATATCATTTAGAGCTTAAAAATATACCAAAAAATGATTTGAAAGCCCTTAGGGATATTTAATTCAATAAATTAAAATATATTTCTTTATCATTAATTCCTTTAAGGAAAGGACAATAAAATCAATTTTTCTAAAAAAAAACAAAAAAAATAAAACCGAG